TCTAAGACTAATGGTAGGAGATGATTGATAGCTGCAGAAGGCAGCGAAGGGGGCAGAGCAGTATGGCAGGATGATGGTGAGGGCCAAGTACTGTTGTGGGTCTGAAGCTGGCTAATCAGAGTAGGCTCTGCATAATCAGGATAGTAGAGCTCCAGGGCATGAATAGCAAAGTAACAAAACTGAGATATTACATACTCAAGCAAAAACAAATCAACAAAAGACTTCCCAAAGACCAGTGCTATGAAATATAAAGTGATGTAATAAATTGGTTCTTATGTCCTTGGTTTCTCTTGTTTTCTACATCAGTAGTCTCCATACCTTTGTGACCATGCATCCCTATCATTTGGGGCACTGAAGTGGTACAGTGTATAGAGTGTCATGCCTGGAGTCAGGAAGACTTCAGTTCAAATCCAGCTTCAGATACTTACTTGCTGTGTGACCCTGGGCAAGTCACTTAACCCTGTTTGCCTCAGCTTCCTCATCTGTAAAATGAGCTAGAGAAGGAAACAGCAAATCACTCCAGTACCTTTGCCAAGAAACCCCAAATAGGATCATGAAGAGTCAGGCACAACTGAACTATAACTGAACAACAACATCCCTATCATTAAAAAAATATATATCCTAATGAGCATACTGGGGTGCTGGCAGAGGGGAGGGTATTGGAAAGGGGGAGGGAGAGGGACCATAAAAATGACAGTAGTTTTCCAATGCTATCTACACAGCTGGTGCTGTGGGTACCCAGGTCAAGATTAGTTTGTAACCATCTTGAGAAGCAAAAGCCTGGTTCAGAAGGCAGGTAGTAGAAGACTACACTGGGTATGTGTGCTTGTGTTGGAAACAAACTCTATGACGGACTATTAAAGGGAAGATTCCACCCAACTTCCTACCCTCCAATTAGTTGATCACAAAGCCCTTTCGGTCAAGCCACAGCTTCCCCTTTGGAGACAACTGGCTAACAATGCCCAAATGAACTGTTTACCTTTCTTGTTCAGATAAGGTCTCAGACATTCATTCATTTGTACTAGCAAGGGCCTGTGGAAGGCATAAAGTTTCAATAAATAATTCCTGCTTTAATAGAGCTTCTGCTAATATACATATAACAAATATACATTAAATAACATGCCCATTAGAAAGTTGTAAAATTGTTTTGTGGATGCACGAGGGTAGTAAGATCTTTACAGAAGGGCGGACAAGAAGAGCCAAGATCAAGGAGGTGGCTGGCATTCTGAGTCAGGTTTTAAAGGATGAAGAGGAATTCAAAGGTTCAAGAGGGAAAACAGCATCTCAGACAAGTCCTATAACCAAAGGAACAAAAACTTTTTTTTTGCCCAAATATTCTGCAAAATTCTGCCTCAATTCTCTGCTGTACTTTGTCAGCTGAGACCTGGTTAAAAAAAACAAAACAAACAGCTTTTTTTTTTCTTTTTCTTTTTCCTCCAGAATCGGTAAATAGCAGCAGCTCGCTACTGGCTTTGGGTTAATCAACTTTAGATTCAACAGTATGTAAAGGGGAATCCAACACTACAGCTGTAGCATCCATTCAATTCTTGGCCTCCCTTCAGGAACTGCCAATCCAGGTACTACCTGATGTCAATGATTTAATTAAAATACACAATCAGAAGCCAAAATTTTTGTTATTTATCAGCCAAAAACGTGCAATCTTGAGCCTAACGGTGCAAAATATAATCTACTTTCAATCACCAGTCTTAATATCAAAAGACAGTACTTCTCACAGTTTCTCACAACCAGTTCTTTCAGTGTTACACCAGCTGGCAAGAGAATGTAAGATAACACTAGATACTTACAAAGAGAGCTAAATTCTCCCAATCAGAAATTAGGACTAGAACCCTGTAAAATATTCCCTATTGTTACACTTTTAAATTTTAGGATTCATAATAAAAAAATTTATAAGAAGGCTTCACAGACTGATTTACTTTAGTAGGCATTCGAAAGTAATATAATGAACAACAGGACTTGATACACTTAGTAAAAAAAAAACCCTTTTAGAGGTCTTTAAAAATATAAACAAACCAACAAAAGTCAATTTTTGTTGTTCTTTAGGAAAATTTGAAGGCAAAGGACATTTTCTAACGTTAAGGAAAGATAAAATGGACAAAGCAGTCAAATCAGCTTGAGATCACATTAGAAGGTATAAAAAAGGGGAGAATTTTGTCCTGCTTTTCCTGAAATGGCTTCCATAATTGACATGTAAATACAGTCTTATCATTACACCACTAGGGGAAAAGATTCTAGTTATAATCTTAGTGTATTTGTAGGCTTATGTTATAAAATATTATATGTGATTATTTTACATTAAAAATTAACAAATCAAACTAGTTATTTTCAGTGGTAAAATAGCATCCCAAATCTGCTAAATTTTCTAAATTAATAAAGCATGCAATGAAGATACAAACTGACATACAAAACAAAAAATTCACATAACAAACCTAATATTGAAAAGAAAAAAGTAGTCGTTGTTTAAATGCTAATCACAGCTCTCAGTATCTGATGTTGAAAATTTCTACCATCTCACGATAAAGTTCTAATATCAAAAAAGAGGCAATTTCACTAAGACCTTATTGTTTTTAATCTTTTAGAAAACTCCCAGCAAAAACTGCTTTAAACAAACCTTTTTTTCTCCAAAACTAAGCAATGCTTAAAAAGAAATGCCATTGAACCCCATATACATCAAAATTTTTAAAAAATTCAAGCTGTCAAATGATTTCACATTTCAAGCTAATGCCACTACAAACAGCTAAGCTATTGAACACTTAAATATGGGTGTGTAGTAAAAATACCCCGATGCTCCTCAAAAGTTTGCTGGGACAGCTATAAAAAATACTAATTGAAACCAACAAATGTTACTTTTTATCCACACTTAGCCATTTGCCCATAGCACCATTTTACAATTTATGTTTATATTTAAACAGATGCTACCCAATGCAATGCAAAAGTACTATTTCCTGAGCCAAAGGGTTATAAATACAAAGCATTCAGAAAAATATTAAAGGCATAATTTGTGAGCTATGTCCTACCCTCTGCTTCAGTATCTTGACATCTTAAGTCAAAGAACTCCTGTTAAGTAAGACTCAAACTCCCCAGAGAAAAAAGGTTCAGATCCTGTCTGAGAGCACACAATGGAATCACAGCTGACGATGCGCATCTCCTCTGGATGTCTCCATATGCTCAAGAGTTCCTTTCCCCCCAACTAGGCATTAAGGGACTTGCCACTATCTGCTACCAGGAAGATGAGAACATTTTCAAGGATTGTGGTAAAGAATCAAGCATGAATAGTGACTTACTCTTGAGCATACCAAAAAAAAAAAAAAAATTTAAGAAAGTAAAGAAAAAAGGGCACATGCCACTGACCATCTGTAACTAAATGAACTGTTAGGAAGGTAGGGGAGATTGTTGATAAATTTGAAGCAATAATATAGATTGCTCTCTACTATTGTAAGCAGTTGGCAAGTAAAAGTATAAACCAGGGAGAGAAAACAAACTATTATTCAATAAAATGTAAGGTAACAAACTGCAACAAAATACATCTAACCTTTTCCACATAAATGTAAAAACTGCACGAGGTTATTATTTACTCTGCAATTGGAACTGGATTAATAAAATAGAGACTTTAACAGAAGTTTAGCAAGTATTTTTCGGTATTTTTAGCTATAGCTTTGCTTCAGTTCTTTCATGGTAAAGTTTATGAGAAGAGGTAACTAAAATTCTGATAAAGAAAAATTCATGAAGATAAAACTTTTTAAAACCTTCTTCAATTAAATTTAAAGTAACCTAATCATAAAATGAATTGATTCATTCTTGATCTAATTCTATTCACCTTCTGAACTCCTAAAATCTGGAATTAAAAGTCTTCACAAACTCTAGCTGGGAATAAAAACAGTTTCAATAAATGTGCCACTAACCTCACCAACAAAGAACAAGAGCACAAGCACCGCAGCAGCTGCTGTCTTTTTTTTAAAAAAACTGTTATTCCTGCAGGGTAACCTGTGCTCTGTATAGAGAATAAGACCCACTATTCTTTTGCTCCCTTAAAAAGTCAGTAAGTCATTTATGCGACAAACAACCTGCCATGAAAGATGTCTCTCGCCCTGTTTAAGCTAGTGAAGCACCCACTCGATCTACATTTTAACAGTGTTTAAGGAAAAAACTATTTTAAATGATTTATTTTTAAGAATCTTCGGTGTGGGAGTAATTTGGCAAACTACATTTTACTCAAAATTCCCCCTACACACAAATATTCTTTGACCAGCTTTGCTCCTTAAATACCTAAGCTTTATGTTTCACACAGTGATGCTTTGGTTTCTAACTACATTCTGTTTACCCAAGAAGGAGCCAAATAAAATGCATACCATAAACCACAACCTTCTATTTTTTTCTGTTTCGTCCTCACACACCCAACGTTCAGGAAAATTTTGTGAAGTGACGGCTTAATTAAACAATAAACGAGCAAAGGTTCACGAAAAGTACTAATACTTTTGACTTTGCATTCCTAAAATAATCTTGACTTAAAACTATATCCAAGTGCTTTTAAATATTAAGATATCCTCAAACATGGGTTTCAGTGATCACAGCTGGCATAGCTAGAAAATACAAGGCAGAGGTGATACACAGAACCCTTGAGGATCCTCACTGCAAATAAAAGGAGGTCCAGAAGCCGTACTCCCTACAGAGCATCCCTACCACACACCACTCTCCGATGCTACATCCTGGATGACTGAGGATTTTACCCTACGCAACGCGTTCATGCCTTTAACTAGGCGCAGCACACTGAGCCCCGTACACACGAACACCTCTTCCCAAGACAAGAGGGCTCTATTGCTAAAGCCTCAGAACCCAAGCGCGAGGGTAGAGTCCTAGGCACGGAGAGGAGCAAGAAGGCTCTAGCTGGCGTCTCCATGGCTCCCCGCCCCAAGGCAACTCCTCTTTAACTGGCCCAGAAGAAGCTCCGCCCCTTGCCCCTCCCACTCCCACGATTGGCTCACCAAAACCCGGTCAGTCAGACTCCCCTCTTCCGAGTGGCCCGCTGCCCCATCAGTCAGACACAGCGCGATCCAGGTCGATGGGAGGGGAAGGCAGCGAGGGGGGTGGAGTGGGATTGAGATTGAAGGAGGAAGGTGCGGAGGTTGGCTGGTTGGTCCGTTCGTCAGTTCGGCTGTCAGGCCTGAGTCTCCGGATCGGCAAAGTTTCCCGGCGGTGGGGCTGCGGGCTGGGGAGGGCGATCGCGGCTCAATCCCCAGGCTCGGAGGAAGGAGCTACATTCAGTACAGCCCGAGGCTCCGGTCTCCGCATCCCACAGGCCCGGAAACCGAAGGGGCGGGGGAAGAGGGCGGGGCCATCAACCCAGTGACCGGCCCCGCCCCCATCCGCGTTGAGGCGCCTCCGGGACTCGAGGAGGGGGAGGGGGAAGGGGAGGGAGAGGAGGGATGGCCGGGGGGCGGGAACACCGTCCCGGCGGCTCTGGCCCCTCCCCAGCCCCGACCGAGGGAGAGAGTCGAGCCCCCGGCTCTGGGCGGGGTGTGGGTGAGGGCCCCTCCCCGCTTCCCGCCTGGGGCCCGGAGGCCAGTCACTCCAGGGGCGGGGAGAAGGGAGGGAAGCAGGGGACCAGGGGGAGAGGGGCGCTGGCGAGCCAACCCGGAACCTTCTCCGGCCGCCGCCGCCCCCGGCCCCGGCGCGCCCGCTGCCGGCCCACCAGCCCCGACCCAAAAGTTAAGTGCGAGGCTCGAGCTGGGCCCAGGTGCGAGCGCGGAGCATCTGCCTCCCGCCGCCGCCCCAGCCTCCCTCCTTCCCCGGAGCCTGCGTACGTCGGGAGAGCTCCCCCGCCCAGCCCAACCCGCTCCCCCTTCCCTCCTCCTCGGCCTCCCGGGGATCCAGCTAACCCTCCTCCCCCGCCGGCCCCATGGGCTCCCCCTCACCCCGGGGTGCAACTTCCCCTGGTAACCTTGCCTCACCTTTCCTCCGCTCTGCCCGAGGGCAGAGCTTCCCGGCCTCGCTCCCCAGCCCGACCCGCGGCTACCCGTCACACCTCCCCGTGCACTTCTCCCGGGTCCTGGCCGGCGCCCCGACGGCTCCCCCCAGCCGCCTCGCCGGCCCCTTCCGCGAGCTCACCTCCCTCATCCCCTGGGGCTCCCGTCTCCTGCAGCTCCCGCTGCCCACCGACCGTGGCGTGCGGTTGTGCCCGGCGCCTCCTCCCGACCTGAGCCTCCTTCCCTCCTCCTCCTCTCCGGGGCCTGCGGCTTCCCCCTCGCAGCCCCGCCGCCGCCCCCTCCCCCGGGCTGGGGCCGCTCCCCCCGCCTTTCACTCTGGGACTCGCTGTCCCAGTTCACAAGAGGGAGGTGCGCGTGTGTGTGCATATGTGGGAGTGCATGTGTGTGCGTGCGCGCGCACGCGTGTGTGTGTGTGTTAGTGTTATGTGCAAGGGGGTGGGGAGAACCTTTCTTTCTCTACCAGGAACTCCCCCCTCCCCGGTCTCCAACCAAAATCAAAACTCCCCAACTCCGCATCGCCCCGGGATGCAGCAGCCCCGCGGGGGCCCCACGCACGACACCCGCCCTGACAAGGCGAGCACGGCAGGGGAGATCAGGGGACGCGCGGCCGGCAGGCGAGCGGCTCTGCCCCGGGCTCCCCCGCCGCCGCCGGGGGGGTGGGGACGGTGCACCTCCCCCTCCCCCGCGCCGGGAAGGTGCATTTACCGGGAAATCGGTGGGTCGGTCAGTCAGTCAGGTGGCGGCTGCCGACGGCGCTGACCTTCCCGGCTAAAGCTGGAGCGGAGGCTGTGGCCGCCATGTTCCCGTGTTAATAACTGCTGCCTGGTTGTTTATTTCAATGGAGATCCTCCCCCCCGACTCCCCCCCCTCCTCCTCCTCTCCTCACTTAGAGAGACAGAGCGAGTGAGCGGAGGAGGGGGCACAGTGAGGCCGCCAGCCCCTCCCTCCTCCTCCTCCTCCTCCTCCTCCCCCCCCCACTACGGGCGCAGGAGCAGCAGCCAAGTCCTGTCACTGGGGGAAGGACGAGAGGAGGAAACTTCCCTCCCACTCCCCTCCCTCCTCCCACTGCTCTGCAACATCGCCCCTGCGAGGGGGCAAAGGTGGCAGAAGGGGCACCCGGGATTGCCGAGCGGGGGGCGGGGGACGAGGAGAGGGTCGCGGGGTCCCGGGCGGCCAAGCCTTCCAAGGGGGGATGGGGGGCTGCAAAAGCAACGTGGGGATTGTGCGGGAGGGAGGGGGGAGGGGGCGCAAAACGGGGCAGAGGAAGGGTGTCCGATCCTATGGGCGATTCGAAGTGTAAAGAGAGTAAACAGATGACTCCGCGGCCAGGCCGGGGCAGTGCCAAAAAATAGAATAGAAAGGGTGAGCTGAGGGAGGGCCTGCACGGCAGAGGGGAGACAATGAGCAACTTGGGGCCGCCGTTGAGTTAGGGAGTTGCCACAGCCCAAGGAGAAAACGTTAGGTTTGGCAATTCGGGCCCTTTCAGAAGAAGGGCGGCTGCACCACTTGTGTGCCAAACATCGGCCTCCATTCCTCTGGCAGAACCTCGCGGTGCCCCCAACATCCTCCCCCTGCCACAGCCCCTCTGCACATCCCTGTGCTGCCACCACCCTTTCCCACCTCGTCTTCCCCTCCAAAATTGAGTCAGCACGTGTATTTTAACTTAAAAAGCTGGGAAAGGAAGCAAAGGAGAGGCCAGCTTCAATGGAAGTTCACCCCACGAGAATAGGGTAAAGAAAAAACAAAATAAAAACTGGGCACTTAACCACTAAGAACCTGAACATTACTAGAATCACCAAGAGGGTTCTTACTTCTTGATTTAACAGTAACAAGGAAGGTAAAGAAACAGAAAGATAGAAACTGAAAATAGCTAAGTTCAGAGAGAGGTAAAGAGAGAACATAGAAGGGGCAATGGGTGCCTCTTAGTTTTCATGTGCTGTGAAAGAACTGGTATCTTTTCATTTAAATCTTAGTTACCTAGTGGTCTTGACTGACTGGGAAGGGGGAGGAGGTGACTTGGGTGGGGCAGAGTGGAACACTTGAGGCATGTTTTTGTTTTGTTTTAAATTTCCATCCTTAATGTGTAGAAATGTGGGGCAATTTCTCAGAAGATCGGTTTCGTGGGGACTAGAGTGGGATAATCCCTGGCAAGTCCTATAAGGCTCCTTTATTAATTTCTCTTTGGAGCAGGGGTTCTTAACCAGGGGTATATGAAGTAGCATGTCCAAAAAAAAATCTATTTTCTCTAACATTTAACTGAAATTTAACATTTCCTTCGATTATTAAAGTAGGTGACAAATATTCTGAGGAGTCTGAAGGCTACCTAGATTGCCAAAGAGGGACATGACAAAAAAGATTAAGTACCCCAGCCTATCCACTTAGAGCCTACCTTCTTTCAGCAATCATAGTCCTGAGGTAATCCTACATTTTTCAGTGCCTCATTGAGGCCTGGAGGTGACCCTGGGTTCTCAAAGACTGTGCCAGAAGTAAGCTCTGGCAAGTCCTACCATTGTGGAAAGGCTCTGCTAACAGATGGAGTCTGTTTTCAGAGAACTAACCTAGGTACCAATAGTCTGGCCACCTGGTGATGCTTTTTTTTTTTAATCCATGGCAACCCATGGAAAAAAAGTTGTAGTGGTAACCCTGGATCCTGACATTTTGCTGTACTCTGAACTCTTTTTTGGTCACCATTAGCTAATGGTGATTAATTGTATCCCTACATTATTTAAGAAAACATCCAAACATGTTCTGGGTGCATGTAAGTGATTCTTTAAAAAAGCTTGACTAATCCCATGACTACATATGTGCTCCCAAAAATTCATGCATGCCAAAAAAAACTTAAAACACCATTTTTTTTGTGGTAGGGAAAGCTGGAAACAAAGTAGGTCCTCATTAATTGGTGAGTGACTGAATAAATTGTAGTGTATGAATGTAATGGAATATTATTGTTATAAGACAAGTAATAGGAATTCAAAGAGATGTTGGAAGACATAAGAATTGATTTAGAGCGAAGAAAGCAGAACCAGAACAATGTTAAACATGATGGCAGTCATATAAATTAAAAACATTAGAAGGCAGCTAAAAATGATATTATTAACTGGTTTCACAGGCAATATGAGACACAACTCCCTCTTCATGCAGAGGTGGGGGTGCTATGGATGTTGAATGTCCAGTACACTGACAAATGGATGACTGCTATTTTTCTCTCTTTAATGGAAGATACTATGGAAGAAAAGATATAAGGAAATAACTGGGGAGGGGGGTTTAAAGTCTCAAAAGGCATCAATCCTTTTTTTAAGAAGTAGCTTAGATGCAGTATGACCTGGTGAAAGTCAGGGGAAGTGGGTTCTGTGCCCAATTCAGGCACTGACTTGCTATATAACCCTGAGAAGTCGTAACTCATCTGTTTTAGTTTTTTCATCTGTAAAATAGGAGTAATAATAACTGGCAAAGACTTAACTGGTGCGAATGTATGAACCGACAAACCAGGATAACAGTTACCACTGATAGTATACATATTCTACAGGGAAGAACACTAGCTGTCAGTGTCACTAAGTCAGAAGAGTGAGGTTCCCCGGGCACATTTGCTGCTACAGTACTATCTGTGTGACCTTGGGCAAATTATTTAACTTCCCAAGACCCTGGTTTCCTCATCTATGGAATGAGGAGTTTGAATTAGATGGTGTCTGAGGGCCCTTTCAGTTCTAGATCTGTGACCCTAAAGGAAAACAACGCTAAAAGACTTCAAAACTGATCAATGAAGCGATTGAACATGACTTTAGAGGACAAATGGTAAGAGCGTGCCTCCTACCTTTTGCTAGAGAGGTAGTAGTGGATAGGTACACAAGAAGGCACAACATGTCAGAAATGGTCAATGTTTGGATTTGTTTTGCTCAGTTGTACTTGTTTGTTATACAGAAGGGTAGTTTAGGATAGAGGAGTGTTGGCAAGTGACAACAATAATGAAAAGAAGCGCATCACTGAAAATGCTACGCAAGCTGTGGAGGGAAGAACTATAAACATTAATCCTTTGTATTATGAGAATTATTATTGTTGTTCAGTCATGTACAACTCTTCATGACCCCACGGACCATACTCTCCATGGGGTTTTCTTGTCAAAAACACTGGAGTGAGGGGCAGCTAGACAGTGCAGCGGATAGAGCACCAGCCCTGGAGTCAGGAGGACCTGAGTTCAAATCCAGCGTCAGACACTTACTAGCTGTATGACCTACCGCAAGTCATTTAATCCCAATTGCCTGAAAAAAAAAAAAAAGACACTGGAGTGGTTTGC